TTATATCTTCTCTCCATTCTATATCTGTTAATTTCTTTTCTTTGTTTTCATTTCTTTCTTTCTTTTTTCCTTTCTTTCTTTTCTTTGTTTTCTTTTTTTTCTTTCTTTCTTTCTTTCTTTCTTTCTTTCTTTCTTTCTTTCTTTCTTATCTATTCTATCCTCACTTCCTCAGTTACTTTTTTACTTGATCTTCTTCACTATATACCTTTACCTATCCTTTTTCTTTCCTTCTTTTTTGTTTTTTATACATTTCTTTTCTTCCTTTCTTTTCTTCTTTATCTGTTTTACTTGGGCCCTTCATTTGTTTCGTCTTCTCTTTTTCTTTTCTATTCTTTTATTTTTATCCTATATATATATATATATATATATTGCTTTCTTTCTTTTTCTTTTCTTAACTTTTTCTTTTCTTTATTGTTTTCTTGTCTTTTTATCTTCTTTTCTTTCTTATCTATCTACTTCTTCATCCCTTTTCTTTCATATCTTTTCACTTCCTATATTTGTTTCTTATTCTCTCTTTGTTCTCTTCCTTCGTCTTCCTTTTTTTTTTTTTTTTGGTCTTGTTCGCTTTTCCTTTTGCTCGCGTCTCTGCACTTTATTATTACAACCAAAATATAAAACGCCTTCAAGTAATTCGAAAGATTACAATCATCTTTCTCAAGCCAAATCCTACAGACGCTGATCTTATCTGTTAATTTGACACTTGACTGGACCAGTGACGGCGCCTGCGCTGTTGCTCTCCGGACAATGGCCAGCCACCGGATACATCAGTATATCATCTTTGCTTCAAGGTAGGCCGATCAAGAAAAGGCATGTCAACGCTGACTAAAGGTGTGAATTTCTATAGTTCACTTTTAACTATGCGGTAAAAGTGAAAAAAAAAATCAGTCGATACATTTTCGTTATCATTAGGACCATCGACTGCTGTATAGTAAACCGCTGTTATAAATCGGTTCATGCCGAATTTAAAAGACAAATAGGCGGGTTTAAGTATTTTAGTATACTTTCTTCAGATAAAATCTTGATGATCCGCAAAAGATCCTAGATATCATATCACACGCCTCATTCAGTAACCCTCTACATCGACTGGCTCTTGGGCAGTGCAATAATACAGGATGTCCCGAAATCTTATTAACTATATATTTTTAACATCCGCAGATTAATTACAGTTTTGTCGAAAGAAGAAAGAATTGACTCGACTCATTCAGCAACCCTCTACATTGAGTGGCTCTAATAGTACAGGGTCTCCCTAAAGTATGGACGCATAGGAAATCTCATTAACTATATATTTGTTAACCTCCACAGATTAAATATGGTTTTGTCGAAAGGAGAAAGAAATTGGCTTCTTTTTCTGGGGTATGCTAAAGGTGTACTCAATGTAATTCACAGATCTAAGACTCTTGTTTGAAAGCATAAAGAGTGAATGTGCTGAAATTGACAGCAATGTTGAGTTATTGCATCAAGTTCACGTGAATCTGGCAAAGCACACCAACCTTTGCATTACAAATGATGTAAATCATATTAGATGTTAATATATTATATATTATAGTTGTATGTTAATTAAAGATGGTTAGTATTCCAATTCAATAAAATGTAGAAAATTTAATTTCTGGAAAATATGCATTTTTGTCTCTGTGTCCAAAATTTTGGGACACCCTGTTGAACATTAGAAATCAAAACAAAACAAAAAAAAAAGAAAAAGAAAAGGGAAAAGGAAAAAAAAAAAATTTTTTAACTTAAATACCAACTTCTGAACTAAACGAGATCTGTGTGGAAAAAATCCAGCCATTTAACATTAAAAAGAAACAATAAATAAATAAATAAAGCCCCAATTAATTCTATATCTACATATTAGTTTCTTTTAGGTACCATGTCCTTTTAGGGAGTAGACGATAATGACCCTTTTATTCTTTGGTTAATTTTCAGTGTAACACCCGCTCTCCGTTTGCATTAAACATTTCCAGAATACGTACATTTATATGTAGTTGTACATGCTCCAGTTAAAGTTCAAATTCCTTCGCGTCGTTGGTGGCAGCCATTACTGGCGTTGTTTGCATACATGTCCTGCGGAAAGCTAAACGCGGAAGTCCATAAAAAGTTGAGCGCGGAACTGATCTTTTTGTCTAAATTTGTCTCAATTACTGCGCACGAGAACTATTTACGTACACACCCTCAGTTTGCGCAATGTTACCTACACTGATAGCTATTCAGCAGCGAATGTATGCAAACAACGCCAGTAATGGCTGCCGGCGACGCGAATGAATCCGAACTTTTACTGTTTATAACTCCAAAACGATAGATTTTATCAAATTTATCAAGCCTGATTCGAATGGAGCATGTACAATTACACATACATGTAAGTATTCTGGAAATAAAACTGTTTCGATTTGAGGTTATGAATTAATATGTTCTTTCATCTTCAGTGACATTGTATACTGGTTTGACAATATTTTGCCAGCATTTTCTGTCCTCTGCGAGTTTGCGGATTCATTGCAGATTTTCC